CAGGAGATTCATCATGAGGAATTTCTCCGGAGGATGGAACCCTGGTGGTGTATTCAAGGCATTGTTAGGGATTACCATAGCATAGATTAGGATGATTCCTTTAACCTGTTATTCATATGAATTTGAATAAGGGTAATTCTTTTCTTTCCTTGGATTCATCACATTAGGTTCACTTGCTCCAGAAGTTTTGTGATTAAAGACGTCCCATTGATGCCATTCTCAATTCCATGTTTTCCATGCACCTATCACAAACTTGCATAACAAGAATTTACAGGTATTAGTAGTTACATGTCCAATTTTCCCTTACCATGTTATCTACTTTGGCATTACAGTGCTGTAATGGCGGTCGATTTCATTAGACCTCCTGCAGTTCTTCTTCTTTCGTGTGAGTGTGTGTGGTGAGTGCTGTTTGGCTTCCCATTTTCCTTTTATCAACCTCATACGCTTCATCAATCCTTTTCTTTATCAAAGGATCCACTGCAGCTGCATCTAAATTAATTTGATGTTAGGATGATTAATGGCATTTATAGAAAGTTTGTGTACCTGTAACCACTTGGGCAAACTGTGATGTGAGCACTTTCTTAACAAGTCCGCTTGAAATCTTTTCTAAGCTTCATTACAGGCTCTCTGATCCATGATGAGCCAAATGTTATTATCTCATTGCGCAACTTGGTGGTTTTGATGGATGGAAAGAATTTAAGCCTAGAAATTTGAGGCTAATTCATCCCATGTTTGTAAAACTCCAGCGGACACGATTGTAACCATGATTCTAGCTTTTTATTTCCCTAAGAGTGAATGGGAAAAAGTTCTTAATTTGATTGCATCTTCCAAACACCATTTTTGTTTGAAAGTGTCACAAATTTCCAGAAAATTCGTGATGTGAGCATTAGGATCTCACTAGGCAAACCCCCATATGGACGAGGTAGAGAGGCATTTGGGATAGATTGCCGGGTTTAAATCTCAAATATAGCTTCTACCCTAGGTCTAGTAAATTACTTGAGGTTGTCCCATTCAGATTTAGTTATAATCCCCTTAAGGTACGGACAGGGATGTTGAAGTGGTGGCCCGGACTTATGTTTTTCATTCTCGTTTTCGTTTTCGTTGGCCATTGTCTGCTTGTTGTTTTCGAGTTTTATTTCTCGTGCTTTTTCTTGCAGCTGTTGGTGCCAACGACAGGTTCTTTCAATTTCCGGATCAAAGATTAGAGGTTCAGTTCTTCCTTGATCTTCTTTGCATAAAAGACCTTGGAATAGTCCTTAAAAGAAAAATTAAATAAAAATAAAAAGAGGTGTCTAAATTGAATAACAGACGGTAATTCGTATTGACATTAATTGAGTAACGTCCCAATCCCCGGCAACCGGCCGCCAAAAAAGCTTGACAGCGTTTTTCACAAGTGTACGAAATCGCAACACGAGTAATATTTAGAGTTAATGAGCGAGTATCGTATCCCACCATGGATTGTTTAATCAATTTACACAAAAATTATGGGCTTAATCCTATTATTCATTTAGACGATTTGGTAAGAGGAAAAATTGCATATAAGGTAAATAAACTTTAAAAGTTAAAACAGAAGAGAATCAACACAAAAGTTCAGTGAAAAGAAAATCAGAGAACCTAAGGCTACTAGGGAAATTGATTTCACTTAATTCTATCCAGCCTTCTAATTAGTTCATCAATCAACTTTAATTGTTCAATTAGGAGAAAACAACCCTCAAAGTTACTAAACAAGCCTCTCCGATTTTTATTGTAGCTATTCTAATCCAGTTAATTACCTATCTTAATAGTAAAATTAAACATAAATCAGATCATTAGGTTTTATGGTTTGTTTTGTGAGTTCACAACTAATACCTTATTAACTTCTGAAACCGCCCCCTTGAGTCAAACCATATTAGCTTTCCGCCATCAAGTTATTATTCTCAAACGGTAGATTATTATCTTTTTCTCCATATTCAATAACCCTTTCTCCCGAATGCTGATTAGTTGAAATAACTCAATCCAGGGGAAATTTCTGCCTGGGAAGCATTTAAGTACAATAATAATTTATAGACGAGAACAAAGAATAAACAAATGCTAATATTTATAAACTGGAATCGAAAATTAAAATTATATCAAATCCCTAGTATAAGAATTATAGCTGACATAGTAATTAAATTAACTCAATCATACCTGAATCATTCATCATATTTACAAGCACAAAAGTAATTAAAAGAAAGAACAAGATGAAGAGCTTTAGAATAAAAAATTGATATCACAACTATGTGGATGGCTTCCTGATTCTTGGGCACCAATTGTATTGATGCTTTTGAAATCTTTTAGAGAGAGAGAATTATGTAAAGGATTGCACAAAAACCAATCCCAGGCAATGACGAAGTTTCCCTCATCTTATATAGTAGCTCCTGGAGGTGAGTCATTCCTTTTAGGAAAATAGAATTCCTTATTTTATGTGGCAAAATCCTTTATTTAGGAGATCATACTGTTTTAGGGCTTTTGATTTCCTCTTAGATTAGGATCTCCTTTTCTTCCCAAAATAGGTCTAGGTCTTGTTTTAGTGTGTTTTAGGAAAACTCCCGAGTCGGCCAATGTAGAAAAGCTGATTTGCGTATCTAGTTCACGCTGTTCCGCCTGCACAGCACCTGGGCGTGCTTCATCTGCACGGCTGGGTAGTGCTTTAATCTGGAAGTCTGCGCTAGTGAAGCACGGGGTGCTGCTCAGGCAGCACGGAGCTAATTATTCAATAAAGCACAGGTGTGCTACTCAAGCACAGCAAGCGTGCTGTCTTCTGGAAGTCTGCTTTAGCGATTTGCATGGGCGTTGCTTAGGCTTGGACACGCCCTGCGCTCCCTCTTGTAGCAACGACCGTGCCTTTTGACACCTCCCTAGCCCGTTCGCTTCTTCATGTCTCTCCTTTCGTTCCTACCTTCTAGCACGGTTGTGCCCTTCTAGCACGGCCTGGAGCGTGCTAGAAGCTAAGTGTCTTTGCATTGTAAAGCTCTTTTCTTGCCGCCAATTTCCTACAATTTTCTTCGTTAGATTCCAAGCAGGTTAAGAATCAAGCGGAGCGTTTGAACACACATTTATACTAGAATGTGAATTAAAATTAAATTACAGTAATAAAAAATCTTACTGAAATTTTAATAAAAAACTATATTTAAAAAACCACTATGAAATTAACACCTATAAGATGCTGTTTCACATTATTATGATGAACACTCATCAATCAAGCCACATGTCACAACATCAACATCCATAAAAATATCACCTTCCAAGTAATCCCACATCAAAATGGATATTGGTCAATGCCTCACAAAACCCCGATAAGTCCATCCTCACATTGGTTTGTTCCCTCATACGTATGCACCTAGGGGAAACCGATCTCGCATACATGGCCAACTGGATCTATTCCCTTACTTGGGACAGTCTATCATATTAATTTTTTCCATTCTCGTCGTTTTTTCCACTAACCCAATTAGTGAAGGCCACCCTGTAGGCTTTACCATGTCATTCATATTTCATAATTCATCACGAGTGCACAACAGGTTTGCAGATCTTCCCACCACATGGCCAACGGTCCCGAACCGTCTGTCACATCCTATTGGTGACCCCCACTTCATCCCAATCCATCAGCAAGCAAGACACAATATAGCCACATCAAAGTAATCCAATCAATTTACATTAAGTATTATTAAATCGCATAGAAGATTAATTAAGCACATATGAATTGTAATTATGGAATGATAATATTATTATAATATAATTCTCATATGCTTATCCATATTATAATATATATGGTGGATCATAACATAAAAGGTTAATTGTGTTATTATAATATAGTATTTAAAGAGGGAAGTGAAGTATTCATCTGTATATAGTATATTTATAAGATGTGAAATGATTCTATGCATATATGGCAAATAGATGGTGTGCATTATTTATTATACTTATAGTGATAACAGATAGAGCAAACTTTAGCTTGAATTTGATTAGCAGGAGAGGTAGACGAACGTCGGACGATTTAGATAAAACATAAATATAAAGGAAATGACTACATTAAACAAATGACTTTTCTTGAATAAGAAATTAAAGAATTAATCTAAATTTTATCAATATTTTTTATGACGTTTCCTAAAATAAGAATTTTTCACCTATTTCAAGTATTAACCATTTAAATATAATTATTGATTATTGCTTCACAAAGTCCCATCCATCTAGAATTAATCAATTCAAGTATCCAACTGCTATAAATAGCAATTATATTCAACCTCTTAGCTCGTTAATTAATAATAGACCTTTCAATTTTGATCTCCGTACATCCTCATGTATTCATTTATAAACCTATTTTTACCATCACCTTTAATTCATATAATATAACCTTAATTCTCCACTAACAAAAAAAATGGCATTTTTGCGACCGACCAATCGGTCGCAAAATTGCCCAAAAAAAATCGGTCGCTAAATTCAAATGTAGCGACCGATATTTGTTGGTCGCAAAATATGCTCGTCGCAAAATATTTTGCCGACCGATTTTTCGTCAAGTTCGCCAAATTAGCGACGATAAATCGGGGTCGCAAAATGATTCGCCAGAAATTCCTGTCGCCAAGTCCGGTCGCAAATCGTAAATTTAAAATTTTTATTTGTGTCGCTAATCGGTCGCAAAATGAAAAAATTTTAAAAAAATAAATATATTTATAAAAAACCATTAATTTTTTCGCACCTGTGAAAATTGACCACACACACACACCACACACACACACACATATATAATATATATATATATATATATATATATATATATATATATATATATATATATAAATATATATCATATCAACAAACGCAAATTCAAAAAACAATATAAAAATGCATAACAAAATGTCCACAAAACCAAATGACTAACTAAAAAGAAACACTTAATATCAAAAACCAAGTCCAAACTCCATAAAAAAAAAAAAAAAAAGAACAAAATCATGTGACTTATTCAAACATTATATTATAAGCCACCCTCAGTGAACTTATTCAACATATATTATAGCCACCCAGAAAAATATGTTCCACTTCTACATTAATAACAGTTGCAAATACAGTGCTTTGCAGCACCATATTCCAACTCCTTATATTGTAGCCTATAAATTAGGGTAACATGGCCCCTCTTTTAAAAAAATTGTCACCCGATGTTACTTTCATCTTCTCTTTCAATTTGCTTTTTTTTTTTTTGGACAATATCCTTTACCTGGCTCTTCAACATGCCAATCATCTATGGCTCACTGCACCGCTCACTGTTGCTGGGTACTGCAGAACTTGGTATCCGAAGGGATTCACTAGTTCCGCAACGTTCCCAATTGCAATATCATTTTTTCTCGAAAATAATTTCCACAACTGCTCCACATACTGTCAAACAACAATTATATTGCGACATTAAACGGTCATAATTTTGGATAACAGAAATTTATCATTAACATATGATAACTATACTACTGTGATTCATCCCTTCATTACAATGAGTTTAGGTTGCATTACCTTATTCATGACTCTGACAAATACTTGGATGATAGCACGGTACACATTACCTTTGCCAACATATAATTAGCAAGAGAGACAACCCAATATATACAAAATGTAACAAGTGTAAATGGTATGATTTATTATTAGCTCTTGTAACAAGTGTAAAATATCAAATGCTTGAAAATATCAAATGCTTGAAACTAAAAAGTTCATATTGGGAAGATAACAATAAAATGAAAAATACTTCAACCTTGGAGCTACATGTTTAATGGTAAACATAATTTTAATTTTTGTATCCTAAAATAGTAACTACAAACTTGAATAAATGGTCCATTGATGAGGAAATAGTTCAACTTTAATTAGAAAGAGTTACAACTTTAACTTTAAAGTATAAGCAAATTGACACATTATACAAACTGATTTTAAATTTGTCCATCAAATCTTTTTCTATTTTGTAATTCCTTATCTGCTACCATTGGTAAATTGCAAATAATTTTAATTTGAATATAAGATATTTTCCTATTCTAAACTGCATGTTGATTATATCATGTCATTACCATTCACTGTTCTTATTATTTAACGTCTTATTTTTCTCACTTGATTTATTTGTGATCCAATATCTGCATATAAAAATTAATCCTTTTGTTTGCATTTATCAAAGGGTAGAAATAGGGGATAGAAGAATTCTTCAGTACTGAGTATAATTAGCCCCTAATTAGACCCTAATAATTATTTAGTTTATTCATATTTCTTGTGCTAATTGCATGCAATTTCACTTGTGGCTAAATCTTTCAAGTCCTAAACTATTACTTCAAACATGTATCATACATAATAAGCTTTTTGAATCATCTAATATAATTGATATGGTCTTTGAATGTATGACCAGAATATAGCACTTAGCCTAAAAAAACTACTTTAATATTCACTTATACTACTTTAATATTCACTTATATCCACTCTCATTGGTCAATATATGATACTACAAAATTTGCAAAACAATATTCACAAAGGACATGGAGATCGCACTAGGATGCACAACAGGTGGTTGCTCCATTCCAATTGTCCTCTTCTATATTAATGAATTTAAAAACATTAAAACACACTTTGATTTAACGAAAACAGACTACTATTTGGTTAAAACTTCATAATCATTTAACGAAAATAAGTTACCATTTTCCAAACCAGATTTTCCAAATAAAAAAAATCACAACAAACAGTTTGCTACCATTTATGGTCTCCTTAACGTGTAAAGAGAAAGATGAATAAGAGTGTCTCGATCAAATAAGGCATGATAATTAAAAATAATAAAAAAAACAAAGATAAAAAATAACAATTACAGAATGATTAACAAGGAGATGTCAATCAACTTTTAATAATGAAAAAATTAAATCAAATTGTAATTAATTACTTGTGAATCTTCACCCGATGAATGCAGCTGAATCTGAGAAGAGGATAGGATAATACAACGAAGAGAAGAGATGAAAGGGTTTTGTTGAGGTATTTTTGTTCAATTCGCTTCAATTCAGCTGGGCATCTCTAAAACCATTGGTGTGCGTTTGAGCGCTCTAATATTTCTAATATTTTGCCCTAAAAAATTATATGGGTAGTGGTAGATATTTAACAATTCGCCCCTAATTTAGTGCCCTAAAAAAAATCAAAAAAAAAAAAAAATCGCAAGACTTACCTCAACTTGTGTCCAAATAGCAATAGAGTGACCGGAGTTGCAATGGAGCAAAGATGGCGGTGACAGGCAGGCTGGAGCGGCGTCAGGATGGACTGGAGTGGCGCTATGAACGGAGGAGAGGAGAGGAGGAGGAGAAGAAAGAAAGAAGAAAGAAGAAGGAGGGCGTCTGGCATTTAAAGCCCTAAAATTTGCGACCGACTGGTCGGTCAATGTCCTAATATCGGTCGCTAATTTTTTAACTCGGCAACGTCGTTACTTCGCAAATAAAAATTGCGGACCGATTTGCGACTAAACCAATATCGGTCGCAATTTTTTAACTCGGCAACGTCGTTTTACTTCGCAATAAAATTGCGACCGATTTGCGACTAAACCTGTCGGTCGCAAAAAATCGGTCGCAAATCAGTCGCAAATTGATCTCAGAACTTATTCCTAATTTTGAAGTGCGCAATTTTGCGACGGAAAAAACGTTGTCGCAAATCGGTGGCAAAATCGGTCGCAAATCCATAGTACACTAGTCACAAACTGAAAAACAAACTCGCGGAAATTTTTGGCGTTATAATTAGTGACTTTTTGTCTATAGGTCGCAATTCGGTCGCAAAATTGCGACTGATTTTAGGCTGTCGCAAAAATCGGTCGCAGATCGGCGATTTTTTTGTAGTGCTCGAAATAATTGCTACCTTTCCATTAATAAATTTCTCTTTTTCCTTAGATTATTTTCTAGTCTCCAAAATAACTTGTTAAGTATTTAATTTATTTCCTCTTTCAATTCATTGCTCAAATGTATACCAATTCAAGACTTCATAAACTATTTCTTCATTTTGACATATGATTATTAATTCGGATTTATTTAAAGACAATTACATACTATAATATTGGCAATATTTACATATATTCGTTAAAATAACTTTAGCTCTACAATAAGTGATGCCTATTAAAATAATAGGTCTTACTCTATTCATATTTTTGTACTATATCTCAAGGAATTCGTTCTAAGACTTCACTTAATTTATGGTCCGTCCTTAACCGTCAATCCAAACTAAATTATGAACTCAAATTCTTCTTTTATAGTTTAATGTACAATATATTTATCTAGTCCAACCTACCATAAAACTATGCTATAATTCCCATCAATATTATTATCAAAGTTCTTCAATTAAATTTATTTAACAGTAATTAAAATTTACCTTAATTTATTAAAGCTTTCTAATCAAATTAATACTCACAAATAATTTATTCAAATTTATTAAAACTCTTTAATTATAATTAATATTTTTAAACTATATTAGAAAAATACCCAAAATATAGTACTGTCAGGGTGGCTTGGCCGGATCCGACTAGAGTGGCGGCTGTGTTCGCAGGAACGAAGAGAGAGAAGGCTCAGAGTCGCTGGAGTCGCCTGACCACGCCAAAGTCACTGGAAAATCGAAGAGAGCACCGACGAGAGGACCGAGACGAAGTTGTCACGATCGCAACTCACACAACCAAACTGTTTCCTTCGTTGCGCTAAACGAGACTGAAACAAGGCAAGAGGAGGATCGAGGCCAAGTCGCTGGCGAGCAAGGGCTTGAGGTCGGCTGAAGAGAGCGCGAGGATGCAGAGGCCGCGACTTGGGTGGCGGTCGGTGGTTGAGATCGCAAGGAACAGGGATCGAAAGTTGCTGCTTGCTGCGTTTACTGGAAACAGAGACAGGGAGGGAGAGCGGTGGTGCAACGTCGAGGAGTGGTGGCGCGACGGCTGGCTGTGGAGATCGAAAACCCAGAGAGAGAGAGAGAGAGAGAGAGAGAGAGAGAGAGAGAGAGAGGTTGAGTAGGGCTGGAACCAAGAAGAAGAAGAGAATGAAAAGAAAAAGAGGAAAAATATATTTATAGGTTTCTCCAGACTGATCCGGTTCGTTTCAAACCAGTTTGATACAAATCAATGATTTTGTTCGATTTTCGCTTGGTTTTTATAAATTCAAATTGGTTTACTGGGCGGTTTAGCAATAATAAAGAATTTTGTTATGTAATCTCATTGGTTGGAATTAAAAAATTAAATTTTTAAATGGAAAATCTATGAAATTAAATTTTTTGGTTTTCTCAACTTGTTATTTTTATTTTTTATAACTTAACGATGCATGAATAATGAATATAAGTTGCGTACATCATAATATTCATATGGGAATAAAAAATACAAATATAAAATATTGAAATCTTTTGTTTGGAGATGTTCATGATCTTGCAAAAGATGTTAATCTTCCGGATAAAAACTGGTCCATTTTCGAATAGGACGACAAAAGAAACCTTCCACAATATTGTCTCGACCATTGTTTGTTTTAAAACTTATTACAACTGACACCCGCAAAAGAATTTAATATACCAAACTTTAATGGAAGAAAAGATTGCACTATCATACTTCATTGGTAAAAAAAACTTACCTGAATTTAAAGATTTGAAGTCTCTAGCTACAATTAACCAACAATTTATCTTATACTTCGAAATGCTAAAGAAATAAAAGATCCACATAAAAATCTTTAATAATGAGGAACAACCCCGTAAAGGAAGAGAAATTAATAATCTCGCTAGGAGATATCAAAAATACTCAAGATCTATGAACTATTACAGATCTGAGAGACTAAATCCAAATTTTATTTCGAACGATCATAAGTTTGAAAATTATTTAAAAAAGAACAAAATGAAATAAACACAAACAATAAAGAGGAATAAAAAGAAACCATCGCCGAACAAAGAAGACAGTTGGTGTTTAGAAACAAAATCTAAAAGAACACAAAAAAGAGAAAAATGGCTAGGGTTTATTTGTTGCTTAGTTATTAAAAAACTTGTTATAATCTTATAAGCTAAACAACAAAAAGTATATTGTTCAGATAATAAAATAGATCCTTATTAAATTTGATTATTTGTTTTGATCAAATTTCATTTATCCTTGTTTAAATAATTAGTCATTTGAAATAGTTGAGTACTAAGTAATTTTATCCGCGCGATGCTGCAGGTGAATATTTGTATATTTAAAAAATATTTATAAACTATAATTAAATTAATAAATTAATTTTTCTAATTCTTTTTTTAGAAAAATATTTTTATTTTTGGAATAATATTTATTATAAAATATAAAATTATTTTTAAAAATTAAATATTAAAGTTGAGTAGATAATAAAAGTTATTTTAACCCACAATATACAAAAACATATACATAAATAGTTAAAAAAATTTGTCATATTATATTTTTCCTGAATTTTAATTCGTTATGTGCAATTATTTTGCTTTTTGTATATATTAAATTGGACATATGTTCATTTCTATTATTAAGATTCTCTTTTTTGCATACAATCTATTTGACTATTTGTATGAAAGGAAAATAAGTATCCACTTTTATCCTACTCTTTTGTTGAACGTAAATAACTAGCAATAAATCATTTTTCATAATTTTTAAAAGGAATTCAAAACTTCTCCCACCCTATCCGGGTTATGGTGGGTGTGCTGGCCTTTTTCGGGATCATCTTGGTAACTGGTCTAGGGGGTTTATAGTCCGGCTTCCTTAGTGCACTTCCATGGAAGTAGAACTTCGCGCACTCTTTCATGGGTTAGAAACGGCCTGGTCTCTTGGTTTTAGGGCCCCTGTGGTTGAGTTAGACTCTCTGATGGTCTTACAAATGGTAATGCTGATTGCACAGGTTACCACTAAGTTTCGTAATTTGCAGCTTTCTATTCGTGGCTTGTTAGCGAAGGATTGGTGGGTCAGGCTTTGCCATTGTCATCGGGAGGCGAACTGAGCTGCTGACAGCATGGCTAATTTGGCTGTAGCTGGTGACAGAGGTGTCATGTTCTCCACTCCCCTCCTGCTGGCTTGTATGAAGTGCTAATGTGGGATAAAAGCACGTGGTGTGGTTGCGTGTGGTCACTGCTGCTCGTTAAGTTTTTTTCCGGTTCTTTGGGCTTTTGCCTTCCATCTTATAAAGCAAACAAAAATTCTCCCACGCTACGTATGGCCAGTTCATTAAATTGTCGGTTCCGACTCACAGAATCGACGATTTAAAATTTTAAAATTGTTAAACTTAAACTGACCTTCGAACCGTCGGTTTCGATGAATCGACGGTTTCAATCACGATTTTCAGCGGTATATGTTTTTTTTTTTAAAAACAATCGGTTCTAATGTTACATCTTTCTTTCGAAAATATTAATATGAGTTTAAAATATATATTGGTAAATTTTATTTTAAATAAATTTTAAAATGCTCATACTCATATAAGAATAAAATTAATTAATTTTACAAATTAATCAAAGAAATTATCACTTTATTTTGTTTAAATGTTATAAAATTAATTAATTTTACAAATTAATCAAAGGAAATTACACTTATTTTGTTTAAATTTATTAATTAAATAAATTATAAGAAAATTTTTGAAAAATGCATTCAAAGAATGTAATTTTAAACTTAGTAAACAATTTAAAAGGGTTAAAAAAACAGAAATTTAAAAACAATATAATTTTAGAACTAAATATTTCTTCTTTTTTTACCATTTTAATTTTTTTGATTTTTAACCTTTTAAAGTTTAAAGAGTTTTATTTTTTAGATTTTTAACTTTTAAAGTAAAGAGTATTTAAAAAAAAAAATCTTAAGTAAAGTATATCATGTAATAAAATATTATTGAGAATTTTAGAGATGTATAAAAAAAATAAGTTAGGTGATTATCATTTTGAAAATAAAAATAGAAAATTTCATGTTCAAACTTGATCGGAATCATCGGTTAACCACCAGTTCAGGTTCAGATTTTAACATTCACATGAATCTTAACCGGCTCTTGAACCGCCGGTTCAGGTTCAAAATTTT